TCTGCAGGCAGCTGCATGTCTGTCAGCTGCTAAAGGGACATGCAGGCTCTCAGGGTCTCAGGGAAGACTCCTAGGGACTGGATTCTGGGGGAGAGAGGCCCAGAGGACCTTTGCACTGACCCACTATCTGCAGTTTCTGTGGGATCACTGCCTTTCCAGCAGCAGCTCAGACAGCAAAGCTTCAACCCTTTGAAAAAACACTCTGTGAACTTATCAGACCTGTGATGAAATCAGTCCTCCCCCCCTGGCTCCACATGAACATCTTGTGAAGATTCACCCCGAGATACACATCTGCAGGGCTTCTCAGAGACCTGCAGAGCAGGCACTCACTCAGACTGTCACAACCCTTCTGCTTGAGCAACCAAAGTGCCTCTCTCAGCAGTGCTTTGTGAGGAGAGAAGTGGTTTGTGAGCACAGAAGACTGTGCTGTTGTCTGCTGCAGGAACCATTTCAAGCCCCACCACCTTCCTCTCTGGTTGCAGTGTGTGACCACATAGCAAATTCCAACAGCAGATTGTGATTGAGAGATCAGCTGCCCTGCCCCTCTTTGGTCTGAGACACCTCTGCAGGTCAGCAGAGTGTCAGGCTGTGCCACTGCTGACATGGCAGCATTCACACAGCACCTATCTCACCAGGATTCAAGGACTCTGCAGCCTGGTGGGATTTGGGGCTTCCCCTCAGAAATTGTTCTCTTTGCACTCAGAGTGCAAGGAGTGATCACTGAGCTAAAGCAGCAGCTCTCTGGAGGGTTCAGCATCAGGGGGACAGCTCTGAGCAACACAAAAGGAGCTGGTGGGACAGGTCAGTGTGAACTGGTCAATGCAATATCACATTTCTGGCTGAGGTTTGTTTTGTTCATGCTCTGAGTTTCCCACAGTGGGTTATTTTGAATCCAGCTCTGCTGTCTGACCTGTTTACTGGTTAGGATGTTTATTTTTCCTGAAGAAAAAACAATAAATGTTTTATGAAAGCTGCTTAAGAGCGAAGTATGAAGATGAAAATCAAAGGGAAGTCCTAAAATGAACTCTTCTTGCCCTAGGGCAGACAATACAGCCTCTCCATCCGAGTGTTCCACTCATGTGGGGAAGTTCTGCTGTTGTGAAACGCTGCAGATGTGCCAAGTGGCTGCAGATATCTCTATAACCCCTTCCTTGTCTCCTGGAGCAGTGAGTTATCAGTGTGCACAACCTGCAGGCACAGCAGTTGCCCAATCACAGCCACCTGGGTTGTGACGCCCTCAGGTTCTGTCCCTGCTCTGCTGCTGCCTCTCCAAAAAGAGGCCCAGCTGTCCTGCAGAGCAGCTCTGTGCAGGTCTCTGGGATACATTTTGGACATCCAAAACCAAGCTGGAGAGCCCCCATGTTTAGGCACCTGAACACTCACTTGTACTGGGCCCATTGGACCTGCAGGACTGTCCAGGTCATGGCAGGACAAAGCCCTCAGGCTGCAGGGGGAAGAATTCACCTCCTCAGCTCACTGGGTTGTGCTGCCCTTGTGTGAGAAACGCCCTCAAACACAGCCAGGATGTCACAAACTCCCGGGAGGAGTCCCCGGAGCAGCCACTTCTGCCATCAGGAAGTTCTTGGCAACAAAGCCCCAAAGTGCCCTGGGCACGAGCAGGGAGCCCTGCAGAGCTCAGGAGCTGCCAGGGCACAGGGGTGGGCAGGGCAGCAGATGGGCAGGGGGTGCTCGTGCACACAGTGGTCAATCCTCATCACCAGCCAGCCCTGGGAGCCACCAAGAGCTTCCAGCCCCAGGGACGGTGTTAGAACAGCAGCAGGAGGGGCAGTTCTGCCTCCTGCCTGGCACAGCTCTGAGCCAGCCCTGCCCCTGGCTGAGTGAAAGTGCTGCAGACAGCGTGTCTGTGATTAAAAACTGGAAGACAACATCCATAAAACCCCTGGGGCCATCTGCAGACATCCACGTGCCATGCAGGAACGAGCAAAGCGTTCACGTAACCCTCAGGTGCTCCCTGTCCTGCCACCTTTGCCTGGGGAAGTCCCTCCCTCCTGTGGGCCTGAAGCTTTCAGGACCCTGTTCTGCCAAGCAACCCTTTAACACTCAGACATCATGAGGCCAAACTTTTGTGGATGTGAGCGCAGTAACTCTACTCTGCTTCCATCACCTCATCTGGGGAGGAGGGAATTCACGAGTTTTTACACAAAAAGTGGATAAAACTGTCTCCCTGTTGGTCACTCTGGCATCATTCAACTCCCATATCCCCAAAGGAGCTCGATCTCAGCAAAGAAAAGCGAAGTTTTTGGCCGGTAAATTCACTCCAAATCCTTGTGTGCCTTGATTTGAAGAGCTTTCAAATCCGGGAGGACTCGCAAAATGCAATTTGGCCTTTGCACTGCTTCAACAATGAGCCATAAACCTAACACCCTGGACCAGTTCTCGTCTCTGTTCGTGTGAATTTACCCCTGCACCAGTCACTTTAATGCAGCTCCACAAAAGTCACTCAAGTGGTGAATCTTCCACGCTGAAATTATGAAAGAAAGGAACTTCTGTCACGCCAGACTGCAAATGAAGCTCAGGGGAGCAGCGTCAGGACGGAAGAAAAAAGCTCCCAGTTACTGAGGGTAGCTCATATCTCAAGGGCCTGTTTTTAATCACAACCCCTACAAGCCAGTTCCACACAGCTCATGCTTTCCTACTTGGAGAGCAGCTGCCAACTGGATGGAAACCTGACTGGGTATTTTCCAGTCGATGGGAAAGTTTTCTGAAGGGTGTTTGCCTGAGCAGCACAACAGCTTAGCATGAGCCTTCCTAGAAATGAAGCACAGAAATCCCTGCTTCCATTAAATCCCAGAATCCCAGGATATGCTGAGTTGGAAGGGACACAAAAGGATCATCCAGTCCAACCCTCAGCCCTGCACAGGCCCAGCCCCAGGAGTCCCAGCCTGTGCCCCAGAGGGTCATCCAAACCCTCCTGCAGCTCTGTCAGCCTTGGGGCTGTGCCCACTGCCCTGGGGAGCCTGTTCAGTGCCAACCACCCTCTGGGGGAAGAACCTTTCCCTGAAATCCAACCTAACCTGCCCTGACACAGCTCCAGCCATTCCCTGGGGGCTGTCCCTGGTCCCCACAGAGCAGAGCTCAGTCCTGCCCCTGCTCTGCCCCTGTCCAGGCAGTTGTGACCGCAGTGAAGTGTCCCCTCAGTCTCCTCATCTCCAGCTGAACACACCAAGTGCCCTCAGTGTCCTCACACAGCTTCAAATCAAGGCCCTTCCCCATCTTTGCTGCCTCCTTTGGACATTCTCTGATGGCTTCAGATCTTTGTTATGCTGCAGTGCCCCAAACTGCCCCAATACTGAAGATGATGCACACACTTTAGGCAGTGGGAGTTCACACCATGCCCAGCGGTGCACGGGGGCTGTTCCAGACACACAGGTAGAAAAGGTGACTGCCAGGAGTGGCATATTTTCCTGGAGTGGCAAACCAGCCCTGCTGCTTGCTGCCTTTGTCTCTATTCCTTGCCTCATCAGCCTGTAGCAGCCCCCACAGCCAGCACCCACCCTCCTGGAGGTGGAGGCAAAGCCCTCTGTGGTGTTGGTGGGCTCCTGGTGCTCCGGGATATGAGGTGTGCCAACACATCCTGCCACACAGTGCTGTTTACTGCTCAGCCTTGATGTGGCCAGACAGTCTTGTCTGCATCCCTGAGCAGCTCTGAGCTAGCTCAAAGCCTGGCTTTTGTTTTTTTTTTGGGGTCCCTTTGGCACAGCCCATCACACAAGTGGGCCCCACATACCCCCAAAGAGGAATTTGTCTGGAACAAAACACCCAGCTCTTTTAACTTGAATCTTAAAGGGAGATAGAAAATAAAGATAGATCATTGTCAGCCCCCTTCATGGTTTCATTCTTACTGGGGGGTCGCTTCAGCTGCACCCAAAGCACAGTGAACCGATTTCAGCCCTCGTCTCAGTGTGAGCTGATAGGCACTGTGTTAATTGGTACCAATGGAAACAAGGTCCTGGACACAGCACTTGGCTTAAACAAGAGAGTGTGGAAGGAAAGAACCCTCTTTCCAGGTGCAATAACCTGAGTGCCAGTGGCAGGGAGAGCAAGCATGGCCCGTCAGGGCAGAGGGGACAGAAAACACTGCATGTTTGTCTCCTCTCGTGCTTCTGTGGCTCACCCTGCTGATCCCTCCACAGCCCCATCCAGGGGGATCCCAGTCCCAATCTCCAGGTACTTCCAAGGCTGAAGGACAGAAGAGTTTCTGGTTTATTGGTGGAATGTCTGTTCAGCTTGAAGCTAATACTTGATAGTGCTGCAGCCAGAGCTCTGAGCCAGGATAAATACATTAAATTTGGTGTTTCGTTCACTCTTGAACCGTGGCCCTGCTTCGTGAAATACTGAGCTGCTCAAAGAATGAGATGTTGAGTCACCAGGAGTGAGAGTTGTAGCACAGAGGGGGAGTGAAGCCATGGGAAATTCTCCTTGTCCCGGCTGAGAAGGCAGGACAAAAGCAGCTTTCCTCAGCTTTACTGGTTTTTTACGGCCCAAACAAGTAAAGTCTGTCAGATTTTCCTGGCTCTCTGATCAGGCCTGAGGTGCTTGGGTGTGATGACAGTAAGTATTAGTCATGATGACACCATTATTTGTCCTGTAGATGCAGCTGGGGTTTGTTCTTGGACAGTGCAAGTCTCAACAGGGCAAGTCTGGGCACTCCTCAGAGACTCAGCAGGGAAGAGGGGACAGAGCTCGCCTTGCCTTGTCTGGTTCAGCTGAATCACAGCACACAGGAGTGGTTCCTCAACAACCCTCCCAAGGAGGGAGGACAGAGAGGAAAGCAGCAGAGCTCTGGGTTTGGGAGAGCAGCTCTGCAAAAGGCCCTGCCATTCCTTTCCTCCATCGCTTCTGTGTTGCCCTGGGAGGTGTTCCCTGTACCTGCCGAGAGCAGTGAAACTCCACTCTCACTTCAGCAGAGGGCAGAGAGTGTTTCACTCCCACCCAAAGCACCGCTGGGTTTGCAATCAAAAACACCCCGAAACACCCACGAGTTATGCCCAATAAGTTTAATAACCGAGGAAACCATAGCAAGTGACAACTACAAAACACAGAGCAGACACGGAAAACAACGGCAGGAAAGTGGGAAAGAAGAGTGTCTGCAGCGAGGAACGAAAGCAAAACACAGCGAACAGAGGCTCTGGGTCCAGGCAGAACACACATGGTCACAAACAACACCGCATTGGGAACAGCACACACAGATACTCGTTACACTGGGGGGGGGTTCACAGTTCTCCACTTCAGCCCAGATGACAAGCAAATTGATGGTGTTTTTTTACTCTCTTACATAAATCCTTGTGCACACAACATCGTCAGCACCGAAGGTCTGGAAAAGAAACGGAAATCAATCAGAAGAGATGGGACCAGCAAACATTTAACACCGTTTGGAACTGTTATTTTTACCATAGCAGCTAGTTCTACAGCAGAAATACATTTTTCCTCTGTCTTTTGACAGATGAGAGTAAAGAAAGAAGCCGTTTTGGAAGAGGAATGCAATCTGAGTGACTCTTTTTCCGAGGCGCGATGAATTTTGTCAGAATGATAAATGATGCATAAATCCCCTTTTTTTCCCTATAGTTTCTTGGCACGCCTTTATAAATAACCATGAGGAAAGGAAAGAGAATTTGGAATGTGCTGTTGTTATATTCAGAGGCAGCACTTTGAACCAGAAATGCTTGCGGGTGGAATTGGGGCGGCAGATCCAAACCCGGGCGGTTCAAATGACAAATGAGGGGAGGAACGATGAAGAGCAGGAGGATGCACAGCTATGACCCCTGTAAACATCAGGCTGCTGCCACCCTGTGCCAGGACACCAAGCCCTCTCTGCCAGGCTGCAGTGTGGGCAAGTGGCAGTCACAGCCTCCTTCCAGGGCGCTGTGACCTTGGCCAGGGGGTTTGTTAGGGATGAGGAGGATCTGTGGGGCCACACAGATTATCAGGACATGCAGGCAGGACAGTGATTGTGGGCAGCTGTCTGAGAAAGCCACCTGAATCCCTCTCTGGAATTTCAGGTCTGGCAGGCTGAGAGCTGAGCAATGAAACAGGGAGGAAATAACGGGTGCAGGAGGGAGGAAACAGCGACTGCAAAAAGCTGCACCAACAGACAGTTCTGAGCTCGGCACTAACAAGCTGTGAGGGGGATGTTTGGCTGCAGTAACTGCAGCCAAGGGCTCACTGAAAACTATAAATTAAGACCTACCCCAGTGTGTTATGAAAATTCAGCTGGACTGTTTGTTTTAATGCTTTCTACACCTGTTTGGGCCAACTCTTCTTTGAAAGGACTTGGCTTTAAAACCGACTCTGGCTTATGTTTTGTTCCCATTATTGAGGAGACAAGTCTGTTAGTATTTTGGGGATAGAGGCTTTGGTTTTATGCACATCAGGATCGTATAAATGTTTATATACATTTTTAGCTTATCCATGAAAATGTCTGGACACGAACACTAAAGGATGTGGGTAGTTCTCTATTGTCCCCAGCACCAGCTGCAAATACCCTAACTGTGGCTTTCTTGAACATTTCCAAATTATACACAAAGGCAAAATTACTTCAGCAGGAGCCTTCCAGAGAAAGGAAGTCAGAGCCAAGACCATCCAAGCCTTGAGGTCGTCCTTGGAGCCTGTAAGGTCCCCAAAGTGACAATGGCTGTTTTTCTGTGGCACAGTCAGGCACTGCTAAGCACAATGAAGTTTGGGTCCCCTGCTGCTCCCTCAGCACAAGTCCTGAACGGCAGTAAAACCCTGTGCAGTGCTCCCCCAGAGCTGGCAGGGCCCCAGCCTGCCACTTGGAGCTGCACAGCTCTGCAGCCACATCTTGGGATGTGAGGGGGTGCCACAGCAGCCGGTGCTGATGAGAAAGGCTGCAGCAGCCACAGCTCTCGTGCCTCCCCAGTCAGTTCAGGTCTGTTCTTTCAGGGGAGTGAAGAGAGAAACTCCTTCCCCTAAGCCTGAGCAGCAGCAGTTCTCCTCAGAACAGCCCAGCAGCTGGCCTGGGAGGGAACACTGCAGGGAGGAGTAGCTTGAGGTTGATGTGCTCCACACTGCAAGGGAGCAGGGTCTGAAATTCCGGTGTCTGCAATTCCAGCCTGCAGTTCTGAGACTGTGACAGAGCTTGCTCAGAGACATCAGCCCAGTCTGACCGGCAGCCTCCTTGCAAGACTCGCTGGAGGGAGCGTGGAAATAAAGACAGAACTTTGTGGTGGAAGGAAAAAGCGACGGTAACTCTGGGCAGGCTCGGCAGTGCGGGGGAGTCTGGGCACACACGGACGGGTTGCTGAGCACTCGGTCCAGCTCAGCTCGCCCCTGACACGGCACAAGGGCCCTTCATTCTGTCCTGCCAACACCCAGCTCCAGAGGGACTTCTGGACTCTGGAAAACTTCAGGCAAAGGACTGCATCTGGACAAAAATCAAGTGCAGGAAATGTGGTCGTTCTCAAGGAGCCCCAACCCACAGTGAATCAGTTGCTACACGCAAGGATTGTTGTTCTCGTCTCACGGTTTAAAAATCACTACAGTTTAACTCAGTGATATCATGAAATCGAGACTGAAAAGAGATTAAAGTCATGCAAAGCCCAATTAAAATGACTCTGGAGTACCATGTAGCCACTGGGCACGTCTCAAACCATCCTTTCCCTCAAGACCCAGCTTAGGTTACGTGGCCTCTGCATTTTTTGGCATTAGATTTTTATACCTTATACCCATTCAGATGATTAAGAACCTAACTGAAGCACATAAATAGAGGGCTTTATTGTCCCAGTTACGCACATGGTTCGAATGTGGACGTACGTAAAAGGTGTTTCCCTGTCTCGTTGTAATTTATTAGCACTGCTGATGAACTCCACTCAGTGGTACTAAAGAAAGAGAAGGGGAAGGTGTTCAGACTTGCTGCATTCCTCTTGTGGTTACTCACACACACATCTAATGGACAGCAGGGCCCAAGGTCAGGGGAGGATCCAAATCAAAAGGCTGTTACTCCTCTGTCCTTCACACTTAAATCCTCGTATTCAGAGGCAGGATAAAGAGTTTAGTGTCTGTGGTTCTAATTCCACATTGGAAAGAAGTGATAGTTCCTATCAGAACTTTAATGATCTCCAGGATCTAAAGCAGTAGAGCTTCCTAACAAAAAGGAGACCAATCAATCCTGGGTGTTTGGTCCTGAAGTTTCATCAGAGCAATTAAAAAAAAGAGCAGTTCTACCAAACTGCAATTCAGATCTAACCAGAAGATGCAGGATTTTCAAACACCACCTTCTCATCAGCTTGCAAAACGCTCCAAGGCAAGACTTCCACCTAAGGCTAAAATAGGATTTTAAATGTGCAGTGACTGCAAATTGCAGAATTGTTTTCTTCACTTGGCTTGTCATAATCTGTAGCTAAGAGTCCAAAAGCACACTGCAAACAAAGCCCTGCGCAGGGGGATAATCCAATAAATTGACCTCTCTCAGTTCACTCAAAATCTGATGACCACTGACATCATGAGAGATTAAAAGAGAATTACAGGGCAGTAATATATTTTGGTAGGAGTAAATCTGCTTTTTGAAGGCCTTCTTTATAAACGTTTGCTGAGGAGCCTTTGTGATAAAGGGACCACAGGGTATAATTAGGAAGAGTGTCATTGAAACAATCACCTCAGAAAGATCCCTTCTGCCAGTGCATGCAAAAATCTGCTCATAACTGACCAAAATGCACAGGCAACTTACAAAAGGAAGACAGGGTTTATCAGCAAACTAATAAAGAAGATATTATTTAATTGAATGTTCAGTAAGGGGTTTGTCCACAGCAGACCCCCATGCTACCCAGAATAAAGCTATAAATCCTCACAACAAAGGCATGTGGTGTATTTCCTCTCTCCTCCTCAGCCCCACAATGGGTCTGCAGTCCCAGAATGTGCAGCCCTCACTCTCAAACTCGGACATCAACCCCTCCTCCCTCTCCTCAGGGTGCCAGTGCACAGCACCAGGCCAAGCCAGCCCTTCACCAGGGTCCTGAGTGTCAGTCCTTGTGTGTGGGCACTGCTCAATTACAGGTTCCTCAGGGTCCTGCAGCAGATGAATGACAGAAGGAAGAACGTACACCAGGCGTGCCCGAGGTGGAAATGGCTGTGGCTCCTTTCTTTGTCTGGGAGCAGGGGTTGCAGCTCCCTAAGCCCCCTGGTTAAATCTGCTCATGGCAAGGAGTAAATGAAAGCACTGGGCCCGTGCAACACACACGCCTGCATTTATTACAGGCTCCTGAACTTCCATCAGGGCTGCTTTAACGAGGTCAGCAGCAACCCCCTCACACTGGGCTAAGGATGAGTGGCCCCTCCTTTTGATACTGATTGTATTTAAGCTCACTCTGCAATGCTACAGGAAAGTTGGACACCGGGGGGTTTAACGCTGTTCGATCCAAGGTTTGGGCACTCAGCTTCTTAAAGTGCCTCCCAATCTGCACTGACCCTTCCCACCCGCCAGGTCTGGCTTTAAAAGCCAGCAATATCATTTAAAAAATGTTCACTGGCTCATCAAGGCTCCACAGCTCACCAGTTTTAATCAGCCAGGGCCCGGTTTTTTCTGGGGAGGGAATGCAGAACAGAATCCATGCTTGAAACCCCCCCTGATGTTGTGATCTTTGACCCTTGCCATGATTGATTCTGAGAGCCCCTGTGTGACAGGTGAACTGTGCAAAATGTGCTCAGAGGCTGTTTGTAAAGCCCCTCTTCAGTAATCACCCACTCCAAAATGTTTGTGTGTTGCAGGTTGAACTTAAATCCGTGGAGCAGCCCTGTCAGCAGTAGTTGCAGCTGAAGCTTGAATAAAAATGTGTCTCATTTGAATAGCTGATATTTGTAAGCAGCATCCTTTAACTTTGTGAAGAGCAGGCCTTTTGTTCTTCTGACTTACACAAGTGATTGATAGCTCCTTAATGTCCCTGCCAAAAACACACAGCAACAGCAAAAACACTACAGAGGGTAATGAAGGGAAGGAAAGGCACTTAATCCCAGGTCATAATTCTCAGACAAGTAAAGGAAATATATATTTTTGTGTTCTGTTCTGATCTCGATTGCTCAAATGCTCATCCAAGTATAGTTTATGAATCTGGGCTTGTAAATACAAATTCTGACTCTCTGTGTGCACTACAGACCCAAAGCACAATACAACATAGTGGCAAGACAAATAAAGTGGACTTTGATGGGGAAATGTCCTTGTCATCCTCTCTTGCTTGCACATTTCATGCATTTTTGATCTATATTGTCAAGTAATTCTAAAACTGCAGCACTGAAGTCCCAGCAAGTGCATCAGATGAGATCAGAATAAAAGTAGTTGCAACGTTCTGAGACATTCAGACCATCTTTTTATAAAGCAGAACTTGATCCTTCTTCCCTTACCCCACTGAAAAAGACTCTTTTTAGACCTGCACCTTCCACTGTAAGAGCCAAATAATTATTCATCTACTGAGCGATTCCATTCTCCAAGCTGCAAGGAGCTGAGGACAACTAAAGGCAACTGGCACCTGCAGGTGGAGAAAAGCTTTGCCAAACAAACAGTGTTGTTTCCAGCAAGCTGTGCTAAAGAGGACACAGTGGGGCATGGAAGGCCATCACATTGCTCAAGGGGACAGCTCTGAAGGACACAGGGAATTCTTCTGCCAGGATGCAAGAAAGCCTGATAATTTTACAGTAATGTGGTTTCTATTTTAGCTCCCTGGTAGTCATGGCAATTCAACAGCGATGTGGCTGTTTTATTACATGTGATAATAAATGCATTTTGTTTAACGTGTTGTGCTGGAGAGGAAAATGCATCCTTCCACCAGGAAAATGTCACAATCAAATGGATCCCCTAAGCAATGCAGCACATCAGATCAAAATGACGTGGCCAAGCTCCAACATTTGTGCAGCCAGGATTAACAGGGTAAAACTCATTCCTTACCCCCTGCCTGCTACCCCAAGCCTTCTTTCAATTTGTCCAACACAGTTTGGATTATTTCTTGCAACTTCTTGCAAAAAAGGGTAGGAATTTTTTCTCCATTTCTTCTGCAAATGTATGTAAGAGCTAAGAAGGAGCCTCGAGGCTTCTGGAAAGATTTCTCTGGATATAAAAACAGAAGCAGAGACTTACTGAAGCCTGTCAGAAGGAGTGAAGGAAGAGAAAGTGTTTCTTAGGTAAGCAGGGAGGTTTGGGAAATGTGAAGATGGGAACTGTTAAATATTTGAAGTGATATGGGCAGCAAAACGGAACGAGAAGTGGATTTCAGGTCCTAAAGATCCCTGGAGGAGAAGACAACAAAAGATTTCTGCTTCTCACTGTGCTCTTAGTTTGCAAGAAGCAAAATCTAAGTGGGGGTTTACAGACTCACAACCAAGGGAGATTTCCAAGCAAGACAAAATAATCTAAATGGAATCTTTGTTTGCTGGAGTGACAAAAAAACCCAAACACCCAAAATCCCCAAAGAGCGGAAAGGTGAGAGATCAAAAGGGTCTTCTCACTGAGAGCTCCTGTTCCTGCTTTGTTCCCTTTCATAGCTGAGGAAAACACCTCAGCCAACCCCTTCAGACAGTTTAGCTGTTAAATGCCAAGTCTGGAGGGAATATTCTGGGCTTTTAAAATTAGGGACCACAGATAAGAAAATGTAGCCTACCCTCTTCCATCTCCCTTTGCTGCCTCCTGGAAGGGTTAATTCTGCCACTCTCAGGTTCTCACACTCACCACCTGACTCCCAGAAACACCTCACTGCTGAGCCTTAGGGAAGTCAGGAGATTTGGGACATTGTTAATCCATGTATTGCAAAGATCTGCAAAGATTCAGTCCCATCAAATGTCACCAGGGCTTGAAAATGCTTGTCCTGAGGGCCAATTATTGTCAAAGAGCTGAATAAAGGGAAAAAGAGGCCACCATGCTCCAAAAAAAGAGTTCCCAGAGAAGAGCTAACAAAGTCTTTGCACATAAACCAGAATAATTTTACATAGGAGCAGTGAGATGAAGTCAGCACTACTTCAGGTGTTAGGTTGCTACCAAAACAGTCTGTGCCATTCTGGTTTTCACAGCTTAGGAAGGAAATTCACACACTGGAGGGGGTTAAAGAAGCACTCAAAGAATGATTCAGTGAAAGCTTCCTTCACATCGAGGAGCTCAAGGTCTTCCAATGGTTTAGCTTAACAATCAGAAAGTTCTTCCAAGAGGTGGCTTGATCAGGGGTGGTAAAAGAAGGATTTGCAATATGAAATGTTAGGCCTATTATTGAGGTTCTTTTATACACGATATGTAAAGAGTGGAAGTGGAATCTACACCTACCCAGATCAGAATGCCTGTATTTTAATGGCAAGGAAATGAACCAGTAAACCAACTTCGGAAAAGTTGTGAGATCCTACAAATGGAAATATTTTGAGAAGAAGCAAGTTTTTCTAATTTATATCCTAATTGGAAAAAAATAAATAATTAATTGAGAAAAGTTCCACAGGCTCTATTAAACAAGAAAACAATCTTGGAATCACTCTGCTTTCTTATCCAAGTTCATTACCGTTCCCGTTGCTGATTGCAGGGGGCAGTTGTGTTCTGACTGGCTCTCCTGCTTTGCTGGGAGCAGTTCACTTCGTTTAACAGCTGCCTCATTAGCCTGTTGCTTAAACAATCGGCTACAGAAATTCACTGTTAGAAAGCTGGAAAAATGCTGGTTGAGAACGTATTTTGTGCACTGCAAAGATGCAAAGTAGAGATCAAAGAGCTTTGCCTCATGAAGTGTTGTGATAATATAAAGAATTCCAGTGGTCGAGTCAAAAGAAATTCTCCAGCACTGGGGTATTCATTCAGTGGAAGGCAGTGTGATTCCACTAACAGCACACACCTCCTCCTAAGCTGTGGGTGAACAGCTCCAAGATGTCTGGAAAAATATTAACAGCTTAAAAGCTTTCAGTTTATACTTGGTTAGCTTTGGGTCCTGTTTTGGTTTCAGATGCAATCTCAAAAACAGAACTCCAGCTGCTTTAGAGAAACACTGGGGAGTCTGTTTGAGGTTCAGTCAGTGGGATAGTTTGGAAGAAAACCTCCCTGCTTTGATGTTTCCTTACCCCCAGTGCAGCAGTCCTCGTCTTCCCCGTCCAAGCTGATGAGGCGTTAGCAGTCTAATCAACTGTTTATCCGGAACGCACCGGTGAGAACTTGTGCAATAAAACCATGCTGAACTCGGGGTGAACTGTCCTGCAGCGTCTTCCCTCAGCTCGGGGCGCTGCTAAACTAACGAAGAAAGGTGCAGTGCGGAGAACTCAGCTCCAACAGAAACAGGGATCATCTAAAGGAGGAGGCAGCTGCAGGAGGTGCTGCCCCAACGCCCCCGGTCCCCTCTGCCAGAGGGGGGACTTTGGCTGAGAGCGAATGTGCAGACCTGAGAAACTCCTGAAGGCAGCCCTGAACCTGATTCACAGATAACCAGGGAACTGGGGAAGGAAATTACATGTTTTCCACAAACAGGAGAGATTAGAGCATGCTAACAACATGCACATCTCTCCCTCTAACACACCACGTGACCGTGGATAAGAAGCAAAACATAATGCACATGCCTCAAAAAGAAGATTCTCCAGAAATGAGGTCAAATGCCTTTATATCACTTCCAGCAGAGAAAATCTGCAATAAACCAAGCAAATTCTTTGGGAGTGTGCATTTACAGAGCAGAAGTGGCCCACTTGTGGTTATTGTACCAGTAAAAGCGTGGCAAGAGTTAGAACAATCAAATGCAAGTCAGAACATGCACATACCTCCATTTGTTCTTAAAAAAAAAAAAATAAAAAGGAAAAAGAGTGATTTACTAATTGTATGGGTTGAAGATTATGAAAATGGTAGTAGTCCAGATGGATTTAAGTAATGAAGAATAAGAAGTCATGCTACGTGGTAACAAAACCCCCTGTTAATGTGGTGCATGTATGGAGTGGGTTCAAGGTTCTTACCAAAATCAGCTCATCATTAGCTAATTCTCGAGTCCAGTATGTTTTGGGGCCATCTCCCTCAATGAGAGTTTGTTTGCAATAGATCTTGTTTTCATTCTCCCAAGTGGCCAAACTCTGCAGGCGAGAAAACCATTAGGAAAGACATTAATTCTAGTCCCCAGCAGCACGAGACAGAGACACAACAATGAGCAGCAGTGAGAGTGATCGCTCACTGAAGGAGAGCCAAACACACAGATAGATAAAGGAAAGTGGTGACACCCAAGTTAAGGTGCCAAGAGGCAGCTCGGAAAGAGGTCTGTATTAATAACAAGGTAACTGTAAATGGGTCTTTGCAGGCTGAAGCCACTCAGTGTCCATAGAACGCTTGTTGTTGAAAAGTGTAAATTAGGAAGGCGATAACGACACGTCTGCCTCCCCAAACATCCCTGTCCACGTGTGATTTGATCTGACGTGTTATTTATCACCGGAGTCCCCGCAGAGTCAAAGCATAAACAACCCTATCTATCATGTTGTGGTCATATCTAATGCAGTGTTTGTCACCCCCAGCCTTTCCTGCTGTCTGGCACTGTGCCAAGTTAGCTGTACCTTCAACAAACTAGAGTAAATCCACAACCAAAATTAAAGAAACTTTGTTAACAGTTCGAGTGTTCGTGTATTTTAAGGTTGTGGGTGTGGGCATTTTTCAAAGAATTTCAATAACGGCTATGAAACCACTGAAAAATAAAAATTAAAAAAAAAACCCACAAACCCAAAACTATAGGATTTTGTTTAACTGTCACGAACAGGCAAGTCTTTTGCTTTTCATTCTGAACTATGGTTGCACAGTGCAATGGAACAGCTGTGCAGAAGGATGCCCTGTGATGAATGTGCAAGTAATCCCTTTATAACTACACAGGGGAGACATTCATTAGCCTGTGATTGTATATATATACATTTATTTACACGTGTGTGGGTGCAAATATACGCCGAAATTCAAGTTAACACTCCCCAGGTGTTCAAAGGCAAAACCCCCCTGTGCTCTGATTTAAGTTTAGCTGTTTGCTTTATAAATATTTTTTCAAAACAATGGGTTTTATAAGCCAACAAGCCACTCTCAAGTGGCAGTTGCAGAAGCTTTGCCTTGCAGTACAACTGCATGTGTCTCCCTCTTTGTCTGCACGAACAATGGATCAAGTTGGTTGGCAGAACAAAACCCTCCACCCCATAAAGTACATCAAAATCTATCACCAGTCAGCAGGTTTTGCCAGATATTGCAAATTACATTCTGGAGTGTTATTTTATTCTCTGTCAGCCTGTGCTCTGTGGCCCCATCTTGGTTATGTACACCCAGCAGCACAACTGATTGCTGCGAGTGGACTGTAAATAATTCGGCAGCACATGGAAAAAATCGACTGCTTCCCCAAACACATTTCTTTCAGGTTTTTCCAACTTTCATAGCTTAGAGCCATAATTATTGTTTTTCCATCTGCAGCCATAAATCCCTCTCCAGAAAGGGGGTCACTTTTATTGTATCTGCATTATGCATGAAGACACAGAAACACTCCTTCTGCCCAACAAGATAAATTAACAAAGCCAGCAACATTTCCTGAACAAACTGTTAAATATACAGTAACTCATCCCAGAGATCGAGTGGATGTTTGGAATGTTCCCTGACTCCCAGAATCTCCTTCCCTTTTTCCTAAATTTAAGTTCACAGCAGTCACACCCAAGGCAGTGGGTTCTGAATTTTTAATGGTGCCAACGGTCTCAGAAGCGGGCCCGAGAATTAGGAGAGATCATATTTTGGAAAGTAGATGATTTATTTCACCATCATTGGATAGTTTTAAAACTGGATCCTCATTTGGGACTACACTCTGATGCTCTTTGTTTGTACTTGTTTTATATAAGAGTTTTATACGTACTTCTGTTATAAGTGTGAGAGTAAAGTGCCCAAGGAAAGCACAACTCACCCATGCCTTTGATAACTCCTTTCAAAAGACAGCAGTGACCACAGCCCTGGTCCCCAGTGCCTCAGATGCCATGGATCAACACCAGTGAGAACCTGGTGTCAGATGCTGCTGACTGGAATCCCCCTCCATGGCCACACGAGTGCTTACAAAGGTCCCACACACAGAACCAAGCCCAGAACACTCCAGTGAGTGCCCTCCATTCCCCTCTGCTCAAGGAGATGGTGTAACTGGTATAACACCACCTGAAAGTCTGTCCTACACTCTGATCAGCAAACTGGAGATAGGCACTTACAAAGGGCATGAAAGAGGATTTCAGCCCCAAACTACAAACACTCTGTGGTCCTGCTTGTGAGCTCCTCTGATTCAATCTAGGACAAAAAGTTATGTCAGGTTTGTGCACCAAATCCTGACTCTTGAGGTCTCTCTCGCTCCACCATTTCCAATGTTTCTGTCAGGGACAGAGGCTGGGGAGAGCTTTTCCTGCAGTCTAAGCCTCCAGGGGAGAGGGAAGCAAAAAGAGCCAGATAAACCCCTGCCAGCCAAGGAGCTGGCAAACAGGCACCTGAACTCTGCTTTTGGGAGTGCTCTTTTTGTCGAGCTCTGTTGCCTTCAGATTTCAGTTTTATCCTGCCAGAGGGACAAGAGTAGTGTTGACCACCAAGAACCCCCAAAGAGAGCTTTCTGGCAAGAAGAGGATGGAGGGCAGCAATGCCACTGCCCGGGGACACCAGCAGCAGATGTGTTCGTCCCATCTAAAAAGAACTTGGTAAAAACACACACACCCACACCCCAGCCCTCTTTCCTACCCTGCACTTTCGTCCATCCACCGTCTCCTCCTCAAAGCTCTCCCCGATTTTGAAGTTGATCTCGGTGGTGCGGACAGTGGTGGAAGTTTTGATGTAGAACTGGTCCCCGTCCTGGCGGATCTCCACGTGGGGTTTGGAGGCGGCTGCCACCGCCACCTTCCTGAGCATGGCGTTGACACCTGGCCAGAGCGGGGAGGAAAGCAGAGCATGACGTGCCCCGCGCTGACCTCGCCCGGCATCAGGCGGATCGGCGAGCGGGGCGAGGGGCCGGGAGCTGCGGGGCTGCGGCGGCTCCGCACGGACCGCGGCTGTCGGGGGATGCCCGGGCACAGATCCCCGGGGCAGCTCGGCAGGTGAGGCGGGACACGCCGTGCCTCGGCCGCCCCTCCCCGGGCAGGGCTGAGCCACCCCGGGTGCGGGGAGCCTGCCCTGTGCCGGGAGCCTGCCCTGTGCCGGGTGCCAGCCCTGTGCCGGGTGCCAGCCCTGTGCCGGGAGCCTGCCCTGGCCGGGATGCCTGCCCTGTGTCGGGGTGCCAGCCCTGTGCCCGCCCGCCGAGCCCCCCGCGCCCTCCCGCGGGGCACAACCCGCTGCCGACTCCCCGAGCCTCACCCAGCGCCTTCAGCAGCTCGTCGAAATTCTCGCTGCTCCTCATCTTCCAAGTGCCGGCGAAGTTGGGCATGGCGGGGCGGGCGCTGCGGAGGCGGCGGGGACGCGGCGCTGCTGCTCCTTCTCCGGCTCAGGCACCTTGTGAGCGGGGCGGACCGCGGCGGCGGCTGCGGGAGCGGGGCACACCCACCCGACCCCCACCCCTTCCCCCGGGCCGGCACCACGCCGACACACAGCCGGCCCCCTCCCAGCCGTGGCCATCCAGCCATCCATCCGTCCATCCATCCTTCCTGCCCTCGCCATCCATCACTCCCTGCCCGCCTGCCTTGCAGCCCCCCGGGAGCCTCCTGGGGCTGCCCAAGCAGGAGAGCCCGGCTGTCACTTGTCCCACAAATGGGGGACGCCGAGGACTTGATGAAAGGCCCCAGAGGCGGGCAGGGAAAGCAGCGGGCAATCCAACCAGGTGCAGCCTCTCCAGGCTCACAGCGGGTTGATCCCAGCACAGCAATCCATTCCAGCGAGCTCCCGAGCTCACATCCCGGCGGGTCCGCTCACCTGCCAGCCTGGCCAGCACAGCGGTGCCCCAGGGAGCACAACCCTTCCCAGGGTAGGGACTTGTAAGGAAGATATCACTGCCCCTGAGCCGGGTCTGCCCCTTCGAGAAGGGTGATGGACAAAAGAGATAGAGAAGAAATTCCCCAGCCACAGCCACACACTCCCTCACTGCTCTGGGGTGCTTTTGGCAGTCGGTGGGTACAGGTGTGGAGCTGGAAGTTGTTCCTGTGGCATCAGAAAGAACAGTGCCCATGGTGGTCACAAGCTTTTCTGGAGAAACACATGAAGCTATTTCACAATTAAATTAACACCAGTGTGCTGTAGATTTGAGCTTTGGTCTGTGCCTCTCAGACTTCCCAGGACCATTTCCATCATCTCTGCTCTGAATCTTTAGTTTCAGGTCAAAGATGCTGCATTCAAGTTCCTTATTGCAGCTGATTTCTCCACACGATTAAGGGGAGCAGACTTTGACAGGTTAAGGCACATGGAGTTTTTCTGCTGCTGTTGTGCATAAGGAAATACTCAAATCATTCTGAGCTCTGTGATTTCCCAATCAGAACAGAGCCAGATGTATTTTAGCTACAGGAAAACCTTTGCTGAGCCACCCTCACAGTACATTCACATCCCTTTTTCACTTGTTGGACTCTCTCTGTAACATGAACACGTAGGTTACCTGAGGTGCGTGTAAAATGTGTTTACTCCTGGAAAATGAACAGATCTGGGAGTTACTGTGCTGGGCAGGGTTCTCCAGTTCCTACATGCTGAAATTTGCCCTCATTTTTTATGCCAGTAAGAGTTTTACACGAGTAAGAAACATAGAGCAGAACCAAATATTTGTCTGTTGATTGTCACTCTTTAACTTTACTAAGTTTTATTTCTGCCTTTTCAGAAGGATACCCTGGAGACCTGGCATAGCTCTTTAACTGAAATATTTTGATGGAAAATCTGGGTTGTTTTTTTTGTTTTGTTTTTCCAGGAAATGAAAATTTAAGTTAGGAATGATCTGTTTTCAATAAGAGGGTTTCTCTAAAAAGAAACCAAACAGAACAACAACAGAAACCAAAAACAAAAACCAGAGCACGAAGCACTTTTCAGTTTTTTAGTAAATGACAATAAATTAGTCCCCCATCCGAAATACTTATTTAACAAGTCCCAGTTGGTTCAAAGAAAAACACTTGTGGGGAAAAAAAAAAAGACAGACACAGAAATAATTTCCCTATTGCAGGGAGGTTTAAGACTTTTCAACTTGCAGGCCCAACAAACCCACACTAAGTCTGTGTATGGCTGTGAAACACTGAAGGAAAATTCTGATTTTGAGCTTCCCAACCGCACAGCTGAAAATACACTCCCACATCCAGCCTTGCTTCCAGAACCCTGCAGAAGGTGGATACCTGGGATATCCCACTGACAGGGCTCAGGCTCTGCAGCTGCCTGTGGGAATGAGCCTGTGCAGCACAAACCAGGCAGGAACAGCCGTTCCTGCCTCAGAAAATGCTTTGGCCCCAAGGATTTTAAGGAGGGACTTAAGGAAGGATTTTAAGGAGTTTGCTCTTTGAAGGACCATCAAAGTTCTACCGCTGATAGGAACAAGAACTGCTCCAGCACACGTCACAGGAGAGTGTTTCTAAGATGTAGGACTGTCCTAGGGGTTGGACTGTGGCCATTGACCTGCTTCTGAAGAGCAGGAGGGAGCCTTCAGAACACCCTTCATCTACACTGTGCACCAGGCTGGAAGGGAGAAGTGCCTTTGGTCAGGAAAGGCTCTATTTTGCCACAGCAGCACGTGGAGTTATTCATCCTAAACACTTCGAATCAAATTGCACTTTTATTTACATTATAATCTTATCTAAAGACCCTGAGGTACCGTTCCACCTCTCCAGTCCAGCTGCTAAAACAAAAAGCCAGCTCCACTCTGGGGTGTCTCACTGGCTCTCCCTGCCAGTGTGTACATGTTCATACCTTATTTACCTAGGGAGGCACTTTCCTTCCAGCCCTGCCCACTGCAGACTTAGCAGCTATTTCAAATTAGACCTGGAAGTTCAACCATGAGCAGTTCTTCATGTGTGTGCAGTAGTTGAACAGGTCACCACCAGGCATTCCCCCCTTCCCCTCTGAGTTACATTTTTTCTCTCCTTTCTCTATGCTTCTCCTCTTTGCTTTCAAATAATTTATGTTTTCCCTCTCTTTCTCAAAAACAAGCCCTCGTGTTTCTCTGGATTTACTGATTGATTTAAAAGTCAGCAGGAGTTGAACTCCAAACTCACAAGAAGCTAACATCACTCCAACCAAATAAAAGCAAACCAGCTCTATTATTCCACTTTTGCTTAGGACAGCCAAAGCTCAGTGAGAGAAATGTCTTTTTATTTTTGCACTTGGTGTTTCCTGAAAACATTGGGGATTGGAATCCCGTTGCTGTTGTGGGATACAAATCCCCACTCAGGCTGGTAAGGCAACAGAGTGAGATGAAACTTAAAAGGCAACAAATTTCACATGGTTTATGCACCAGTTACACTAATTAATTATGCATATAATAATTATATAAAAGTCAGGAAGAGCTGAGTCTCCGTTTCACAAGCTGTGATGGTATCAGCTCAGTGCCAGTAGATTCATTTGCATGCTGAACCGTTTGAAGGAAAAGATAAGGAAGAAAATATGGAAAGAAGCTTGAAGGAAAGGAAAGCAGAGCTGTGATGTAAGACCCGTAAGGAATATAGCACTGTTTAAAAAAAAAAAAAAAGAGGCAGAATGTGAATTAGGATCAGTTTCCTGCATGTCTGGGATCACTCAAACAGTATCACTGGGGCAGAGCTGACTGCAAGCTCTGCTGGTATAAAGTGAAGATCACAAAGCTGTCCTGACTTATATTAGCTGAGAATGTTGCCCGTGGACTTTACTTGAGCCCTCCCCTAGATCCTTATCCTGCCACAGCAGCAGTAGGAGATGTTTATCAGGTCATGCTGAAATAACCCAGACTAAATGGCAGTTTTACTTTTCTTCCAGTCTCCCTCTGTATGTAATTTTCCCATTAATGTTATGGAAAACAGTTTGATTTTCTCAACGTGCCCCTCAGCACTTTTTTCCCCTCGGCATTTATTTTATTTACCTGAATCCCCCTCAGGCTGATCCTTCCCTGCAGATGGACCTAATTAATCTTCCCAACGGTGCCTCTAAGACAAAAGAAGGTAATATATGTACAGATGGGACCAGGGCACTCCATCATCCACACAAATAAGTGACCAGTAATGTGACCAGAACTATCCCCCTGAGGTTACACCGACTGACCAGGGGGAAGTCACACAAGGCTCAGTGCAAACAATGGATTTTATTTGCTAAGGTGGTACCTTAGTTAAAAAAAAAGAAAAAAAAAAGGAGAAAAAAAAAAGATTGGTTTAAGGCAGGGTAAATAATAAAGGAATAAATTATTTCTGACGCAAATAAATTACACAACTGGAGGGCAAATTGCCGTCGTAAATTTACCTGCCAAATTAACTCACCACCGGGCCTCCAGCGGGACAGTGGGTGAAGTGGATGCAAGGTAACAACAGCACTTCTGCAGTGCTGCTTTGGATCTTGTGCTGCCCTCTCATTAAGCTGAGAGAACACCCACTATTCCCAAGCTAAAATGCGGGAGGGGTTTCCAGTGCCAAGTTATCCTTCTGGTTTTTGGGACCCAACTAATAGGAAAGTAAATGAATTCTCGCCTTGTTAGAGGCAGGCAGCAAAGTGTTTGCCAGTTTTATGTTCATTAAGAAAAATAAATATTATCGTTGTAGTTCCTTCCCCATAATATTCCCTTTCAAGAGGAATTAATTGATCTGTGTTGCCTTCCACAATCAGGCTTTAAGCTGGCCACCTGCTCTTCCTATCTGCTGATCTGCTACAAGAATGCAACAAAAGCGAGAATTGTTTTCTTAACCAAAGTAAAATTTGCTGCTCTGACTCTGCAGACAAAGGGAGTTTGATTGTCTTTTCACTTGGGCATTAATTCTGCAGATTGCTGAGCAACTTGATCCCTCCCCAGCACCGTGTGGTGGCCATGGCAGCGACACAATCACCATGGGCCGGGCCCTAGAGGTGCTCCTGGGTGTGTTTGCCTGGGCCAGCACCAGAACAAAGCCACAAACATCAGCAGAGAGGAAAACCGAGATCACTCCGTGTCAGACTAATGTTCTGCCTGTAACATAGATTAGTTTAGAACACTGCTTTGGAAAACCATTTACAGACTGCTGAATAGTTGTGCAGGAGGGTCATGCCGAGTAACCAAGAGCCAGCGGAGATTTTTAGTAGCTGCACCTCTTAACGCGCATTTGAGCAGATGTAACGAAACAAATCCGAGCACTGAGAGTGTGGGGGAACAGAAGTGACATTGCCTGCTGTCCAAACTGTCCAGCCATCAGCAGCTGCCTTGCAGCTCCCAAAAGTCACACTCTGCATGTGGCTTGGCAGCTGAAAGGGAGTCATCAATCCCCAAACCCTCCGGTTCAGATAAAGCAACAGGGCAGAAAGGAGCGGTTTGGGAGCAGCATTAACAATCTGCCAAGTTTAAAACGTGGTATTGTATGAACAGGGGGGAAAAAGTAAATCTATTCACATGATTAAACAGAGCTTTCTGGTTTGTGGGGTAAAACAATGTACTTCAGAAAGAAAAAAAACTAAAAC